TTTTATACATTTTATCACGTATATAATAATTTATGTTAGATTTGTTATTTTGATCACCTCCAATGCATTTGTTTTCTGAAGAGCAGACACACTTTATAACTTATTTTGAATGCTAAAGACTTGTTAGTAAAATTTCACAAGATTGCTTAATTTTTGAGATTTTTTTAAAATAATGATAATCAAAGGTTTCGGATTATTCAGTTTACTCAGAAAAAATGTTCCACTTTGAAAATTTTATTTAATTCAACCCTTGCAAAGATGCTTAACACCCTTATTAATACACGGCGAAACGTGTTAATATTTGATCAAACCCACGTTGGTTAGTTGAGCATAAAATTTAGGATAAATAGAAGCAAAATAATATTCCCAACTTAAAATATAACAATAAACTATAAAATAGGATACAACAGTTACAATAAACTGAACAGTTACAATTCATAAACTATAAATGATCGATTGCATGTTCCACTCTGATTCAAATAATTCCATAATCACATTTCTAAATCACAGAAACACCGGACTGTCAGCTGATTTTAATCATCTGTCTTTATATTCCTTACTCTGAAGAAAGGCACGAAAAACTACATTACTGTTAAGGTTTCAATGTGAAGAATATATTTTCTAAGTAGTTGATGAAGACTTAGAGTAAACGAATTTAGTTGATTTGGGAAAATCATATTCTAACCGAGTACATTCTATTTATAATGAGCTCTTCAAAAAAAAAAAACTGTTGGTGCTCTTGAGCAGTAAATAAAATTTCAAAGCTGCAGCATTACAGCAAAATTTGCAGTTTATTCCAAAATATCCATAATTCCACCGGGCATTACATATTATTTAGCAGATGAAATATCAGTATAAATGAAATTTCAGGCAGGGATGTTAAAAGCATGTAAAATACTCCACAAATATAAACTCAAAAATATGCATGAATTTTCAACAATTAAGTTTCGAAAAATTTCTCTCCGATACAAAACTCACGAAGAATAATTCTGGAAACTTCATTAAGGACAAAATAAAATTTTATAATAATTAAATGAAAAAGTGTAGAAAAATTAATTAATTTATAAAACTGTGTATTTCAAATACTTGCTTGCTTTTATCTGTAGAATATTCTTAATAAGGCAGAACAGCTGTATTTATTACGTAAAGAATTAGCGGATGTATTGTTATAGGTATTTCTTTTCTGTTGGTTAAAACTTCGAATACTGAAAAAGAATGTGAATGAATGCTAGAGAAAAAGAAAACTTTGAAATTGGCTTATTAGTATAAAAAAGCATAAGTCTGGGGTATAAATATTTTGTACAAGCCAGTGAATAATTAGAGGAAAAAATAATAAACTTACGATTTCTATTGCCCTATTTTGACTTATAAAATGAAAAAGGGAAAAAAAAAGTTCGATCTCCTTTTTAAAAGTCTAAAAGAGGAATTTAAGTATGTTGTAAATATGTTCTTCATTCTGTTAAATTTCTGTTCTATTTTCGGTTAATGCTTTTAATGCAGTTTCATTGGTTCTAGGATAGATAAAATTGTCACACATCACACTTTCCGAACAGCACATATATATGATCAGTTTAAAAATGCTATAGAATTAAAAATACTAATTATTTTCTCATAGTAACACAATATGTTACTCTTCCTTCCTTTACTTTATTTACTACAATTACTTGCCAGTGTGGCATTTTTTTCCATATTTCGTTCAATTTTGGAATAAAATTTTGAATCTATTTATTTCTAATCTATTCTATTTATAAAATTTTGAATCTATCTTTTTTAAGTAAAAAAGAAGTTAAAAGCATATTTTGAAAGAAAAGGGATAGATTATTGCACTTTACCTATGGGCTTAAATAAAAGATAACTTAAATACAATTAACAAACCTGTGTATTTTATTGCTGATGTCATTTTTTTGTTGTAGTGTTATTTAGCTTTATATTAAAATTAGCAAACAAAAGGGTTGTTAATAGATTCAAAATTTTATTCCAAAATTGAACGAAATATGGAAAAAAATGCCACACTGGCAAGTAATTGTAGTAAATAAAGTAAAGGAAGGAAGAGTAAAGGAACTAAAGTAAAGGAAGAGTTTATCTATTCTGAAATTTTAATAACATCTTTGTAAAAAGTCTTTTGATTTTTAAGAAATTTATGCTTAATTTCCGATGCAAGAATAAACGAAAGGAATGCTACTAACAAAATCAGTATTATAAGATCAATAATTTTTTTCCTAAGCATATTGTTCCGCATCGTTTTAAGATCTAGAAGACTTAAATTAGAAGTAACAAAGCACATTTCCCATCATATAAATTTTTAAATGTCCTGGGATATGAATTTATAGTATAGTTAGATATTTTACAAAATAAGAAATTATTAGAAGTCATTCTATAATTTATTCAGATGCCTCAAAACTGAAACTTATTAGAAAAAAAATGTATTGCTAATGCAATTACACCCCCTTCTGTTTCTAAAATTGCCTTTCATTTCTTTCGACGCATGCATTAGAGATATAAAATAAGATATAAATTTGTTCAAAATTCAGTATTATCTTAACTACGCGTGGAAAATTTATTTGGATCAGTCTGAGCTATAAGAAAAAATTTATTTTTTAATAGTTTAAATATATACGCACAAGAAAGTACGCAACTAAAATTAAATGCAAAAATCTTCAGGTTGTTACGTAAAGGGTTGAAGTAAAATTTTAAACAAAAGCCAATATAAATAAAAAACCCATGCAGATCTTAAATCTTACATATGGATTTAAAACTTTAATACATGATTCAAACATTTTAAAATTCACTTTTTACTCAATTAGACGTTCTGTTTTAATATAACATACCGGCGACATTGCGTAATATGATTGAGTTAATGGTTAAAAAATGAAACTATTGTTAGTGTTGGTTTTGTTAAAGGTGGGATAGCGTGTAGAAGAAAACCGTTTACTCTGGGTGGCATTTAAAATCAAGATACATATTTAGAACAAGAGATTATTTATAATGGTAAGAAGTGCTTAAATTTCTAGATTTAAAGGAATTATACACTTAATTTATGAGAATGTATTGTAAAGCCCTTACCTGTTTTACAACGTGCTACTCGGATGGCTTTAAGACACCTGTTATAGTTAATCTGTCGAACGAAAGGATTTCAGATATAAGGAATCGTAACAAATTTCTAAAAATAACTGCTATAAGAAAACTATTGTTATTATATCATATAATTGTTTCTTTTGGTAATGAAAAGTAAGCGGCATCGGTAACTTTACAGATTTGAAAACTGTACTAGAAATTGTTTGGTGTTAATTTATACTAACTAACATTTATCTTCGTGGTGTTGCTACTAAATTGCTGTTTTAATGAAGTACATATGTGTGCTTCATTATATCTATAGATGGGCAAACAGCAAAGCATTTTGCATTTCCGGTAAGGGCTTTCAAAACAAAGAACCGAATTAAAAGGGAATAAAGCTGTCAGAAATTTTATGTGTCTTCTCTCTTTTTGTATACATATTGAATTAACAAATACTCGTAGATCGTTCGCATTAACTGCAAACATGAGGAAAATAGATGAGAAATCTTTAAAATGACTTGAATTTTCATTTTCCTTGCTTTTACCAATTTATCAGTCAGAACGTTCATTCCATGCTTAGAAGTAAAATTTACGTATTTTTGTAATTTTCTGGAGAGAGTGAGAGAAAAAGAGTAAATCGTACTGATTCTTAAATGTAATAAAGCTGTTTAATTTATTATCGCAAAATTTTACTGAGTACTATTTTGCTAGTCTTCGATGAACGATTTTTATAACTGAATAATTCTTGTTTATAGAAACACTAGCAAACATAGCTTACTTGCTGTAACGTTTGCTGCGTAATTCTCTTCCACAATAGTCAACTGAATTCCTTTTAAATACTAGTAGTTAAGGAATACTTAAGAAACTGGATAAAATACCTACCTCTGAGGCTCTCAGGTTAACATCTGACGATTTGTACTAACAAGTAAAAAACTTACCTCTTATAACTTGTACTATAAATTACATTGTGTAATTTCCCTTCTTTTGTTCTACTAAATAATATATTTTGACTGACTACAGCTTTACTGTGAAAAATCATACTCTTTTCCTATTTTAATAGATTTATTTCTCGTTCCTTGAAATAAAAAGATAAAAATTATCGTGATAAGTAAAAATTTATCATTGCTAATAAAATGCTCTTAACATCCTTTGAAAAAAAAATTTTTCAAAAACTTTCTTGTTGATTTAAAATCTCTCTTAGCATGAAATTTCTTGAATTTTATTATTAAGGTTAGGATATTGTAGCTTATTAGATAATCACTTTTCATTCAACTATTACTTAAATGAAAAAGTTTGATTTCTTTTTAACCAAACATGCATCTTTTATATCTAAAAATATGAAGGTATCATATCACAACTAAATCTTCTAGTTCTTCAGATATTTAAGAGCTTAAAAAATTAGCTTAGATTACTCAATTTAAATAAGTGATGTAGTTGTTTTCGTTAATCTCATTATCCTTGCTACTTTAGCATTTAACTGAGCAGTAAAATCAGCGAGGATTTGCCAATTATTTTCAAATTGGCACTTACAAAAAGTTTATTTATAGCACTTTATGTTAATTAACTTTGCATCTTTCTATGAAACTTTTATTTGGAGATTTTACAAAGTAAGGTATGTTAAATTTTCATGTAAAATACTGAAATGATTTGGCATCTTTAAATTTGAGAAATTCAGTTTGAAACCTAGAGAATTGCTGTGGTCCGAATGTGAAATTTGTCAAAATATTTTATTGATTTTCTGTAACCATATATTAAAAAGGCAATAAAATGTCTTCTGTAAATTGTGAACTATTATACTTTGCTGAAGTAGCTAGCGACAGGGTCTTGTGTAAAATTATTCTTATAATTTCTCGGAAGCAGAAATGCTTTTTATGAAAATAATTGTGAAAAATGTCTTAATTTTCCTTTTATTTGAACTGAATACAATGAATAATGAAATAATTTGTCTGTATTTCACAAAGAAATTGACTAAAGCCTTGACACATAAGCATTTAATAAATGTAGTTACTACATATTGCCATTAATCTACAGCCATCTGTTCTTGGACAGCACTTTTGACTTTTTTACATTGTTTAATATTTTCACAGACACATGAAAATTCTTAAACTGGAAAGAAAAGTTTTAATATAGCTATGACATAGAATTAAGCATTTACTAAACGCACACATTACCTTTTCTGTAAGGAACAACTATAAATAACTCTCATAGCTTTGTTATAGTTAATCTGAAACATTTATACTAAAACGCTATAAAATAAAACAACTCATACCAGTCTTTCACCAGGATTCAGAATCACTTTTCTGATGGAAGTGCTTTTGCAGAAGTAGGGAAATAGGAAATTGATTTATACTTACACAGGACGTATGAAGATCAATTACATGCCAGTGGACAATCATGAGGTAATTAATATAAGAATAAAAATAAATAAAATACATAAGGTAACACATTATTTTATAAATTTCATGAACTTTTACCTGTAGTAAAAAGCTTTATGATTACTATACAGAGGAATATTTCTGATATAAATTTGTTATTATACAATGCGTGTATATTTTTAACTAAAATTGCAACCAAAATGTGTATTAAGAATAATTCTAAGCAGGCATTTTAGGACATATTATTATTTATATAAAAACTAATTACAAATGTATGATATATTCTACCATAATACGGGGAAAACTGATGCTGAACTAAGCTTTCTTGTCTCTGATGGAAAAATTATGCATATTAAATAAAAAAGATTGTCTTTTATTTTTTCTCATATGTAGTTTCTTCATGTACTTATAAATATCATTTCGAAACAATACTAATATTTGATCTTCAGATATTTAGATAATTTCCTTCCTAAGAATCTATAATAATGAGTCACTACTGACATGGACATATATATATATATAATTATTATATATATAGTATTAATTCCACAAAATAACACAGATCAAATTATATCTCTATACAAATACACATACTATCTACACAATCATAGTGTCCGAAATGGCATTTCATTGCACCGTTAAAAACCGTCAAAGTTCTTTTAAAATCTAATTTAAAAGAAAAAGAAAAAAAGAAAAAAAAATCAAACCTCAAAACATGAGATAAGGAAACCCGTTCAGCAATCTTCGTATAACTTCAGGTCGCTTGTAAATGCACCTGGTTAGTTCGTAATATCATTATTATCAATTTTCTATATTTCCATAATGATTAATAAGTGTTAACGCTTAGTACTGAACAAGAGATAACATAAAAATAAAAGAAAAGTAATTATTTCTGTCCAACTCTATTATCTAAGAATTTGCTTTCATAGCTTGTAAAAATATCTTAAGTGTAATTTATTTTTTTATTATTATTTTCTGATAAATAAACTAATATTAAATTCAAAATTTATTTAAAAAAATTTCAAATTGTTTTTATTAATTGAAAATAATTTTTTGTCCAACTCAGTGGATCTAATCCATATAGTATATTTAACTACATTTTTCTTTTTTCTTTTATTAGCAATAGTTAAATCACTGCAGTATTTTTTTTTCGAAAACTAAACAAAAAACAGTAGTATTAATGCTCTTGAATCTATTATCTCATGAATCAGTAAAGAAAAATAATGATGAAACTACATTATTTAAAATTAATTTGAAATCAAAACTTGTGCTTTTATTAAGTGTTAAAAAAATGGAAAGGTCTGTATTTTTACTTTAACTATCAATTCAAGCCGTATGTAAAGTGAAATTAAGAAAAGTTCATTTTAATATCGATACTTTTTTTTTCCCAACGTCTAATTGCAAGTAGCGCTATCTCTTTGTCTGAAGTTTGATTTTTTATAAACTTTTAGATTTGAACGCAGAATGTGTTTTTTTCAGTCTTGGGTGCTGTGAAAAATGCTTCTTTTTTTCCCTTCAGGATCACTGCACCTGTGTAATAATCAGTGAAGTCAGCTTAACTGGTAATATTCCGGTGACGAAAATTCACTAGCTAAAGTAAGAAAATTGAAGTCGGTAGTTCCACAAGAATTGCTATTTGCCGCTCCATTATTATTGTTGTTATTATTTGATGAATAACTATCTGAGGAATCGTAGTAATTAAATGATATATCACCATCTGCTGGACACTGGCCCCGATAATTTTCCGCGGATTGATTATACGTGGGAATGTTAGCAGTGTCCCCGACTGTATGGCTAACATCGTACAGGTTGCTTGTAGGAGGAAAATTTTGTTTAGGAGCCGTGGCACTATAGTCTGGCACTCGGCTGGTATTTCCTGTACTGTTGCTCAAATCATAGTATATTGTCTGTGAGCCATTGTCATCATACGAATCGGGGCGGTATCCGTTACTTGTGTTATTGTGGTGCGGATAGCAATATGACACTGAACCATCAGGATTAATACTGTTTGGTACATATTGTTCACCAGACGATGCAACACTTGATTCATATCCATTGTTTACGTGGATATTACTGTAATTTCTATTCACACTGTAGTTAGTGTTCATTTCTCCTCTATATTCATGCATGTAAGCACTATGTGACTGAGAATCATGTGACTGATTCTGGGGTGGCATTGAATCTACTGAATAAGGATATGGAGACCTGGATACTGGTGGGTGATGACCAGAACTTCGTTGCTGAGTGGAATGCACCGAATGGGACCCAAGAGGGACTGTAGCTCCAAGTTGAGAAGTCTGACTATGAGATATCGCCCCATGTTGAGGTGGACACGACCTGTCATTTGTATAATAGATCGGAGATTGAACTTGGTTGCCATAAGAACTTTGCTGCGCTATCCAGTCATTATCCATGCGTTGAGGTGAAAGGTGTTGATAAGATTGTTGTTGATTAGGGGTAGGCGGAGGCGTACGATAACAGTACGATCCTTGTCCTACATTCGGTGATAAACCTCTGTGATTTGTTTGACCATACGTCATCAAACCGTTTGGATCTGCAGAATAAGGGACAGTAGATGAATAAGATCGTGTTCTATGATACGATGAACTAGGAGACATATGTGGTGGAGGACAATGCTGTGAGGTTATCTGATATACACCACCGGGACTTGTACAGTGCGTACTTGTAGCAACCGGCGAACAGTTGATATTGCACGGAGAATTGCAGAAAGTGATGCTTGTGTCCATGGGGCACGGTTGTGTAAGCTTCCTGTGGTTAGCGTTACGCCCACTTGGAGTATTTAAATGCCCATTTGTCATCCCAGAGCATACAACGCGGCTGCTCTTTGTATCATTGGTTACCAGAGACTGAGATCTATCTGGCGTTAGGTTGTTCAAGTTGTGCAATATAGGTTCAGTAGGGGGTGAGGACGAAAGAGAGTTTTCTGGTGATTTGAGATCCCCAACTACCGGACTTCCTTTCCGCGAAGTGGCAGATAAAGTATCTGCTGTACTGATTTGAGCAGAGCCGGGAGAATGGATACGATTCTGCTGCTGTTGAGTGAAATCAGAATCTAAATTGAGAAGCCTTTCTGAGGAGGAACACGGCGACAAAGCTTCGCTAATGCCGTCGCTGACTGCTACCGCCGCCGTAGAAGACGGCGATCGGTCGGAGATAGTTCTGTCCGACGAGATCTCCCGCTGCTTCTTAGCTCCCCGCGGTGGTCTCTCCGGGCTTCCCACAGAAGATGAAGTCTCGGTCGCTGATCGGTCATCTGCAGAGTCTGTCTTGTTGGTATCGGCCTCGTTTCCTGAAAGCGTAGACCCCCCTCCAGTAGGAGTAGAGGAAGAAGTTGGCGTCTCGCCGCCTTCCATCTCGCTTTTTTCGTCGCCGTTTTTTGTCATCATGCTCTGCCGCTTGTGTTTCATCCTGCGGTTCTGAAACCATACTTTTACTTGCCGCTCCGTGAGGTCTAAAGAAGCCGCTATTTCTATGCGCCTTGGCCGACATAAATATTTGTTGAAGTGGAATTCCTTCTCCAGTTCCAACAGTTGTGTGTTTGTATAGGCGGTCCTTAGTCGACGAGGCATTCCATTCTCGTTATTCTCTGTAAAGAAATAGAATTAACTTGTTAATGCCAATTAAATGAGGAAAGAAATTTAATTATATTTCATTTTATTAAAGTACTCATGAGATAATTCAAGTTTTAACATGATTCATTTAACTGTGCATCAGAATTTTAAAAATTTGCACAGTATTGTAGAATATAATTTGCAAAATGTACTGCAAAAGATTTTCGTAGAAATTTTGTTTGCATCTGATTAAATTTCGGCAAAAAGAAAGTGGATAACAGAACTGAAACTAATCGAAGAGCTTTACTTTCTCCCGCAAGAAGATTAGGTCACATTTTTAATAAAGATATTTTCGCAAGCGCACCCAAACATTATCTTTTTTTAAATGCCTACTAAAGTTAATGACGTATACATAATTTTTAGCTCTATATTTTCTTATAGAATTTCATATTATACAAGGGTTAATAATTTGTTGTACTAACTAAAATGAATATTTATTTAATACTAAGGAAATAACATATTATCTTTGCCATCTGCTATTATTTTTGGAAATCAAATGTTTTCTTGTTTACTGTTGCTGTACAGAATAGATGATACATTTTGCATTAAATATTTCATAAATGCACTTAAAATTCAGGAAATGACGGTTTGAATGAAATCCAGACAAAACTGGGGAATGTATATGTATATATATATATATATATATACATGTATGTGTAGGGTATGTGTAGGATAAAAATATGTAAATCAAAATTCTAACTTTAATTTTCAGTAACCACTTATTTCTTCATTTTAATTTAGGTATTTCCCCTTTCTGATCTAAAAATAGTAATTACTTATAACAAACCTCTCTAAACAGCGTCAGTTTCAAATAAATCCATGTCTTATGATTCTTACATAACGCTGACGATGCAGATAATTTTGTAAATTAAACTCATACGATGAATAATAATTTCAGTGAGTTAATATTCGCTCTTCAAAGTACAGCTAAAGAATTCATTATGCACCGAGATTTCGTCTTTAACACGTCGTAAATACGTAAAACAAACAAATGCAAAAATTAAGTGTTTTATGTTTCTCAGGTCACTAACCCCCTGGCAAAGATGTATCGCAAGATGAAAAATCCGTTTGCCTTTATTTTTTGTACTTTTCTTGTGTATTCTTCGCAAGAATTTTGCTTTTACATAGAGATAGTTCGTCTGGGAGACTGAGACAGCTCTCGTGTTGTTGTTGTTTCTTTTACAATAATTTTTTTATGTTAACAATTTTGATTTGCTTGTGCCAATTCATTATTCTAAAATGGATATTTGAATTTGCTTAGATTGTATTGCATTTTCTCCTTTCTTTCTACGTGCTTTCTTGGTGTAATTAAAGGCAGGCAATCGGAAGGTCGAATTTTTTCGTGTTCATATTCCGGCTAGAGCGTTGCGAATTTCTTTGTTTCTTGGTTTAAAAAATTCTAAAAGACTCAACAGTGGCGCCCGTACCAAAACCTGGTTGACGATTTTTTTTTTTTTTTTTTTTTTTTTTTTTTTTTTTTTTTTTTACCATCAGGATTTCGCGGCTGTGTCCCTTTCTCCTTAGTCACCCTTTAAATAGGAGGAGTAGAAGGTTTTTCCTCCTCCTTACCCCCTCGTGCCTTCGAGGTGTCAGTGGAGAGCATGTCCGGATGGCGATCTGAAGTTCTGGATTCCGAGTATCCCACAAGGGCGCTGCACATTTTTCATGTTACTGCTTCCACAAACTTAATCACTCTACATGAATTTTGAATGAATATCTTTCATATATCGTCCTGTTATAAGATGTGGAACAGACAGACATACAATCAAGACAGACGCGAGCATATTGCACCTGTTATGATGTGAACTTTATTTCAAAATTGTCTTTCTCAAGAATGAAAGCAAAAATGTGTTTGATTCGGCATAAATGCAAATATCTGAATCTTCTCTTTTAAAATCATAGCATATCTATAGCGTTGGATTACCACTGTTTTCGGGGAGAATTCTCGCTCTACCAAAAATGTTGCGCCTCATGTTCTAGAGTAAAGAATTTTCATAGATGTATCAATAGTTTAATTTCATTAAGTACGTCATCAAAGTGCAAATGATATGAAAAATATCCAGTATCGCCTTCTAAAACTAAATAATGGGTATTTAAATGATTCAGCAATCTAGTGTTTTCAAAAGTTTCAGTGATCCATTGTGTTCCCAAGGTCATCTAGCACCGTGTTGACAAAAAAGTGTTTTAAATTGCTGATGAGATTTCTTAACCTACTTCCGCTTTTTATATTACGTTTGTCCGCGTAAGATCATAAGACTACTAACTTTTCAAATCAACTAAATTATTTTAAAACAAAACTGATATAACTACAATCGTTTTTAAATTTTTACATCCAGTGATTTTGCATCGAAGCTACTAAAAATGTTTTGATAATGGTCGAATAAAAAAATGGTTAATGATATTATTTTACGATTTTGATATTTAATGCTATTTTTATGAAAGTGATAGTCAATTAAAATTTTGACTATCATTTTGACTTTGATCATTTTTAACTGCAATCGTTTTTAAGTTTTTACATCCAATGATTTGTTTCGAAGCTACTAAAAATGTTTTGATAATGGTCGAATAAAAAAAATGGTTAATGATATTAATTATTTTACGATTTTGATATTTAATGCTATTTTTATGAAAGTGATAGTCAATTGAAATTTTGACTATCATTTTGACTTTGATCTTTTTTAACTGCAATCGTTTTTAAATTTTTACATCCTATGATTTTGCTTCGAAGCTACTAAAAATGTTTTGATAATGGTCGAATAAAAAAATGGTTAATGATATTAATTATTTTTTTTAACTGCAATCGTTTTTAAATTTTTACATCCTATGATTTTGCTTCGAAGCTACTAAAAATGTTTTGATAATGGTCGAATAAAAAAATGGTTAATGATATTAATTATTTTATGATTTTGATATTTAATGCTATTTTTATGAAAGCGATAGTCAATTGAAATTTTATGGTGTTAGAAATTTACTCTTTAATAAATGTTCAATAAATTCAGTAAAGAATTAGCTTTATCAAGTATTTTGCTTAAAGAAGGTTAATTAATTTTAAGGTTATCAAAAATTCTATTTCTGAATTATTGTTAAGAATTTGCAATTTTTTTTTTTTTTTTTTTTTTTTTTTTTTTTGTGAATGTGGTGAATAAGAAACATGAATGAAAATGAAATAAATTTGAGTATTTAATAGAAAATGATATAAAGATTGGGTTTTTGAGTATTAATGTTGAAAATATTAAAAATTATGATATTCTGTATAGTTATAATGAATATAAAATTTATTGAGTCCAAAAAATGAATAACTGTAATAATTTTGATTATGGGTAATGTAATTTAAAATAAAATGTATTAAAGGGAAATGCCTGAAATTAATTTGAAATTATGGTGAATGAATGCTATGCAAGGAATAACTGAATGTTAAGAATAACGTATAATGTAGGGAGTACTGGTTTAAGATCAGAGAAAAATATTTTACTACTGAAAAACTGTTCTTTTTATACTCTAATAAAAAAAAAGTTGAAGGATGCCCTTTTTACAAAATACTATAATATTTTTAACATAGAATTAATTTTTAAATTTTTATTACGTAATGATTTAATGCAGTTCTCAGAGGCTATTCACCTAACGTAAGGAGTCGAGGCCTTTACAAGTAACTGCTCGAGCATACCTTTAACCACTGATGTAGTAACACATCAATCGGTTAATGTGGATATGTCGAATCAGATGGACATTTTTGCTTTTAGACTATTGCAGGGCATTCAGTATTTGGAGAATGAGGAACTGTAAATGAAATATAAGAAGAATTGACCATAATTCGAATATAATGTTACAATATTAAAAATATTAATGAAAATTATAGATACGAAAAATTGTTTTAGAAATTTTACAAATTTGTTGCAATGTATCAAAATAAGTTTGGGTGGTGTAAAATGTTCTCATATTTAAGATAATTCGTAAGAAAAGGGAGGAAAACTTTATTTGAAGAGTTATAGTTATTATTTGGACGTTGTAGAAAGAACAACGTCTTGAATTGGATTAAAATTTCATCATAACACTAAAAATTGATTATTTTTCAAAATTTTATTCTACAAAATTTTTATTCGCAACCCATTTTTATTCACAAAATTTTTATTGCCCGAAATTTTTATATTATATTACTTGAAAATTATTATTTAGTTTTATGATTTAAAATTTTCCATATTATTTCTTTTACCGCTCTATAAAAACTCTTTTTTAGCACTAAACTTTCTCTCTTTGAAGGGGAGGGAACTATGTCAGGTAAAATGTATGTAAAGCAAAATTCTAATTTTAATTTGGAGTAGCCCCTTAAACCTATATTTTACTTTGCACATTTCCCTTTCCCATCCTAAAAATAGTATCTGCTTACTGTGTGCTATGATTCTTACATATAGATCATGACGCAGATTACTTACTTATAAGTAAGTGTATACATAAGGCTTTAGCCAATAGTAAATTTAAAATTAACAGATTAGATTTAAATATTAAGACATTAGGATAGAACAAATTATAACTAACACTGTAAAATAAAATCAAATTACTTTGAAACTTTTCAACTCATACACAACGCATTTACCCTCTACACTTATGCTACAATCTTGCCACTGCTTAAAACGTGTTTCAAAATTCTCTAGGGTACATATGTAATTCTTCAAGAACAGGAACTTACTTTACCGCTTAATCTGTGTTGGCTATGGAAATGTGCATCAACGAGGAATAAAAAGGAATCATAACTGCAGACTTCTTCTTTACTCATCTTTGCGCCTTCAACATCTGTTTGTATTTTCAAACTATAATATACATATATTCGGAAATCGTTGTTCGCGTGAATGAATGCATTCTTGCAAACAGACGCATAACGATAGACGAAATCTCAAATGAACTGAATATTTCACATGGAAATGTGCATAAAATTATTACCGATCACCTTAAATTTCGTAAAGTTTGTTCTTGATAGGTG